ATCCGAGGCTCCCGAAGCGTTTCTTTTGACACCACCGACCAGAGACACCCCGCAGGGTGTGTGCATCACTGTACAGAGCCCTTGGCAGCAGGTAGAAGTGGTTGCCCAAGGTAAATGTGACTTTGTTGGTTTTTTAAAAAAAAGTTTCTGCGATTTTCCCCCTCCTCTCCGGGCATAAAAACTCTTCCAGAGCTTCTGTTTTTAAAATGCACGTTCGAGTGAGCTTGCTCTTCCCAAGAAACTGGTTTTTACACAATGGGCTGTAGGAACTTGTGGGAGATGTGTCTGTAATTGCTGTGTCCCCAGGCTGCAGCTTCCAGCTGAGGCTCCAACACTGCCCTGTATTTCTGTCCCCACCAGTGCAAATAATGAAAGTACCCTTAAAAATAAAATATAATGGAAAAAAAAAAAAAAAAAGCCAGAAACTGATACTTTATGGCTTTAAACAGAGTTTAAATAGTGTCTCACCCTAACAAGCTATTAAACCAGAAGTGGGTATGAGGACATCACTGGGGTACCAAAGCCAACCTGGGAATGGTATTAAAAGTTAAAAAAAGTGGAAAGCACAAATTGCTCTTTCTTTTAAAAGGTGATAAAGCTGTCTCTCTCCTGCCTCCTCCCATCCTGTTTAAGGGCTGGAGAGAAGAAAGTCATTAAATATATCAGGCACAGTCTGTAGCTAGCTTTTATGGGCTGTCTTTCCAAAGGTGCTGTGGGTTTGATTTGGGTGGCAGTGCTGCAAGTCAGAGATACTTGGGTTGTGTTTCCAGCCTGATACTCTGGAAATGGGACAACATTTCTGAGGAGGGGACAGAAACATCCCTGACAAGGAGGGAACAACATCCACAACCTCCAGGGGGTTAACCGGGAGCATGGGGCTTAAGCAGGAATCCAGATGGTGCAGGAGTTTTGCAGCACAGGGGTGGAATGGAGGGGTCCTGGGTGGGCTGCTGGTCCTTGGAGGGGTGCTGGTGCCCATCCCCAGCGTGGTGGGTGATGGCAGCAGCGTGAGGAGTGCAGGAGGACAAGGTGTGATGGAGCCAGGGGTGCTGGTGGAGGAAGGAGTGGCCAAGGACTTTTCTGAGGGCTCGGGTGATGGAAGTGGGGTTTGTGCTGGGGAAAATGTGTGGAAAAAAACCCCAGCAGATTGCTGGGGAGTCGGTGAAGTTTTCTCCTATGCTGAAATGCACTGGGAGGCATGACAGCACGCAGCCTCACTGGTGGCTCTGGGCGATGGAGGGGTCCAGTGTGGAAGGTTGACAGCACACAGACTGCTCCCATCCTGCCCACAACAGAGCTGGGATAATTGCTCATGCAATTATCTTTTCTTGTTTGCTTGGCTGGTTTTGGTTTTTTTTCAATAAATGCAAATAACTTCATCTTCCCAAGGCTGTGTTTGCCATCACACACTTCAGTCTTGTTGAGATCCTTTCCTAGCACTGTTAGAGCACCTTCCTGCTGGGATGAGACAAAAAAAAAAGGAGAATTCCTGAGTAAAAAGCAAACTGCATCCCTCAGGAACATCACTGCTGTGTAGTTTTAATTAATTACCTGCTTGCAGAAGGAGAAAGTTTGCTGGAAAGTTTGAGATGCTTGGCACCAAGACCTCCTCAGGCTGGCTACAGCTCCCTGACTAGCTCAGGGGGAAAATATTTTGTAAACGGTTTGAAAAATAGTTTGTCCTCAGTTATTTGTCCTTTTATACTATTTTATATCCATCTTATTTTATAGACACCTGCGGTTACATGGATTTATATAAAGTTGTTGCAGCCCCTTGAGGGAGCTGTGAAGCTCCTACTGATCTTGTGCACATAACAGGGAAATAGATATTACTTAGCAAGGATTTTTTTTTATTATTATTTTAATGCTCTGTGCTTGTGGGTGTAAAGAAGTGGCCACGAGTGCTCTAATGTACAAGTTGTTCATGTAACTTGTTTGTCATGGGGCTGACAGGCTTTTTCCATAACTAGTAATTGTGTTTAGGAAGGATTTCTGATTTTGCAAGCAAGTGTGCTGGAAAATTAGGAAAATAATAGTAAAATAACTGTCAGAAGTGGAGAGTTGAGGACAGACTGCAGTTAAAGCATCTTCTACCTGCAGTGTCCCGTTTTTGTAAATAGCAATATTGCTCTTAGATGGAAAAATATTCTCATTTCAAGTGCTTTTTGATTTACATTAAATTTAACCACTTAATAAAACGAGCCCTGGGAGGCTCTGCCTGGCAAAGAGCATCATTCCTGGGATGTGACACCATCCTAAACAGGAGCCCAGGTGGGAGCAGCCTCCCTCCCCACCCCAGGTGATGCACACAGCGTGTGCCTGTGCACGTGTCTCAGTGCTGGCAGGGGCTGGGTGACCTGCTGGTAGTGCAGCATTGCCCCCAGAGCCGTGGTGTCCTCTGCCCCTCCTGCTCCTCACAGTGTCCCCAGCCATGGCAGTGCCACCCCAGTTCCCTCCTGCAGTTTGTCCTCTTGTGGTGCTTCTCCAAGAAATCCTCATTTGGCACCAGAGCAGGCTGGTGTTTCACTGGGAATTGCCGTTTGCCAAAAATAATTTGGCATTTATGGTCCCTGGTGCAGATGGTCTTGGGTGCTGACTTATTTCTGGGTGCCAGAGCTGCTGGCGCCAGTGCCGGATGCTGAGGCAGGGATTCCCCCCTTGGGATTCAGCTCTGGGATGCTCCAGGTGCTGCTGAGCCCTTGTGTGTGGGGATAAATCATTAAACACAGAATTCCCACTGCCAGGGGTCACCTGGCTGCAAGCTGCTTGGAGAAAACCCCAAATCTGTTTCGAGCATTGAGATGCTTTTAGAAACTAAAAGAAAAAAGAAATTTTAAAAAATTTCCAAGTTTAATTGCCACATTTATTCCGGAGAAAAGGCTAAATTAAAACAGAATTGGCAAACAAGGAGTTTCTTGTTTATTCCCATTTTGTATTTATTTTAGTCCCCGCCAAGCTGTCACTTGAAATTCAATTTGCTCAGTATTGCTGTTGCTTCTGCCAGGAGGCTGCTCCGAGTCGCCTGTGGAGAGCTCGGACTTCACTTGTGTGCTGTAGGGGAGTGAAACTTCACATTTAACAGCCAGAGGTGGAATATTTAATTCCAAAAATCCTGGCTGGTCTGTTGTCCCTGGTTGTTTTGACCAGGGGAGAAGACACGACTGAAAGGAGCCTGCTCATTTTTGGTGGCAGAAAACCCAGTGAGAGGGTGCCAAAGAGTGGGTAGTGGCATGTCAAGTACTTTCTCACATTTTACAGATGGTTTATATAACCTGCTTGGCCATATTATTATATTTTTTCCCGTCCAGTTACATAATCCCAATTTATGAAAGCTTTAGGAAGTTGATTCCCCACTGTTACATGTCTATGTTACAGCCTCTGAGCTTGTTAGGATGCTTGGCCTCCCTGCCAGGCATCTCCCAAGAAGCTCAGGCTGGTGTGGAACAGCTGTTTATACACTCATTATTGCTATCATTTCTATAATTTATATTTCTTTAATAATTTTGTTTTAGCCATCATCAAAAGCTGTGTCAGCCTCTCGAAGGCAGGGTGGGTGCAGGCTGGTGCCTCTCCCAGCTGATGCAGAGCAAAGGCTTTGGGCATTCCTGCTTTTCCCAGTATTTTGAGGATCTGTTGCTTGTGGCAGAGACTTGCTGTGATTTTTGTGGTGGAAGCAGCTGAAATCCTTGCTGGAGTCAGGGATGGCTTTGGGGGCAGGTAGGAAAGGAGCTGCAGAGGCATCCATGTGTAAAATCCTCGGCCTCATCCTGCCCCTGTCACCTTCTCCCCTGGGGACAGCAGCTCCCCACAAATGGCTGTGGATTTTGCTTTCCCCAAAATAATTTGTCCTTCAAAATAAAGGAGGGAAAAAATAAAATGCCGCTTTTTTCCTTAATTCCTTTTCACATGAAAGTGGAGGGCATTGTGTGTCGTACCCACTCTGGAGGAGATGGACCACAGGCTGCTCACAAGAAAGTTCACAGGAGCTTTATCCATCTGATTTTTTTTTTATTTTTTTCTTTTTATTTTGAAGCAGCTTGGGAAAACCACCAAACAAGCATTTCCTTGCTAGAAAACCAACAGAAGAGCCAGATTGTTTTTAATGGGTTTATATTGTAAACTGGGGGGATAAAGCCACTCCTCTCTGAAAGTCATTTGTGTGTTGCTGGCACAAGCCTGTTCACCTCACTCCAGGGGATGCAGAGAGACTGAACCCATCTTGCTTTTGCCTGAGATATTTATTCTGGCAGGGTTAGTGACCCATTCTGCTCACTTGTTCCTCTCACTGCAGCTGAGGAACAGCCTCTTATTCCACATATTTGGGGAAAAAAAATACTTATGACTTGAACCTTAAATAAAACCATTTCAGAAGCTTAAAAATATTAGCTAGAATTAGCAGAATGATGAAGCCACTGTGATGGGAACATCCACTGCTGTATTTAAATGTATTTACTGCACGCAGTAGCTTTCTTTTTCACTTTGTTATCCTCTTAATTGTTTTAAAACCTTCCTGTGTTGGTGCTTTCCTGGTAAAAGGCAGATCCTCCAAGGTCTTTGGGAGGTGACTGGGGACTGCATCCCCCTCTGAAGTGTCCCCACACTGTGGGTGGCACTTTTTGGTACCGGGGTCTCCGTGGCATTCACCCTGGAGCAGGGACTGGCCATGGGTAAAGGAGACCAAAGGATTGTCCTTCCCTGGTGAATCAGAGCTCACCCTGGGTGCCATGGGGGCTTCTCAGGGTGCTGGGCAATTCAAGCAGCTCTGTTTGCATTTTGGTTTTTTGTTTGCATAGAAGTTGCCATGCCTGGCCTGCTGGGGTGTTGGCTGCTTGCATAGAGTGCATGCTAGGAAGTAAATTGATCTATGGGAGTTCTTAGTTGGTGAACAATAGTTTCAATTTCATGGCTTCCCTGTTTATTTTGAAGGAGGGGGAGAAAGTCGAGTGGCCAGGATTTAAAAAAAAAAAAAAAAAAAAAAGAAAAGAAAAAAAGACAATATATTAATTAACTGTGATGTGTGAGTATGAGAAACAACACACAATGTCTGGATATGTCCTTATGTGTTGGGATGGAGCTGAGGGTTATATGAAGATGCTTGTCCATCTTATTAAGGTCATATTTTGTTAGAAATCACAATTTTAAGTTATTACCATCACCCTCCTTGGTCTCTGTTCAGCAGACTGGCCCTGAGGTGTCTTAAAACACCCTCATCCAGGAGAAATCACTGCTCTGGTCTTCCCCCTCCTGCTGCACAGGCACAGCTTGCTCAGCAAGAAGGGATTTTATTAGGAAGAAGTGGCTGTAGTGATGGAAGGGGAAGCAATCCACTGTGGGACAGTGGAGAGAGCCACTAATTGGGTTTTCCTTCATTATCAGTGTGTGCAGGGATGCATGTGCAGCTTTGTGCTGCTGTCCAGCTCGAGGGGCTGGGATTTGGGATGGTGATCACCAGGATCCAGGGCCCCACATCCCCCAGCTGTGCTTTCAGATTTGTTGTTTTTAAGCTTGACCTTTGCGTTTTCAAGAAACTCCCTCCTGTGTTGCAATCCAAAGCTTTTAGGGCTGCTGTGGTGCCGTGGAAGCAAAAGTGCTTTGTGCTAAGTGGGTCTTAAAAAACAAACCCCAGAGCAGCCAGCTCTTATTTTTTTTCATTCTGTTAATTTTCATCCCAGTGAAACAATTGGACAGGATATAGCTTTGATTTATTTTTTTTAAAGCTGATGGTAAGATGCTATTTTGTGGAAACAGCAAGTCAAAACAGATTTTGGCCATAGTCTTCATCATCCCTCTCTGATCATGGTGGAGTATGATCTGTGGCTCAAAACTGTTCTGTTTTTCCTTCTTCTGAAATCCTGTTTTAGAATAAAGCACATGTGGTTTTTTTCATCTTTTTTCTTTTTTTTTCTTTTTGTCCCCTCTCCTCTTACCAGGTATTTCCCTGCAGTGTCTCCAGGCCTGGACTCTCCCTGCACCTTCAAACCTTCTCCAAGGATTGCATGGTGGCAAGGTGAGACCCCTCAAAACCCTTCCCAGTCATGCTCTTCCCCGTCCCTTTCCCCTCCTGCGAGCCTCTGGGAGGGATCTGCAACATGAAGTTTCCATTTGGAGCTGGCAAATTCCCGGTATGCTGATTTCTAGGAAACGTGGCTGGGGATCGTGTGGTTGGTGAAACCCTAGCATGTGTGATACCTGTCTGTCCTCAGCCCAGGGTCACAGATCTGCATCCCATTGTGAATTTTCACTGATTTCTCAGTGTTGGGAGGCAGCAACGCCTGTGGTGGAGAGGGAATTGTAAAATTCAAAGGCTTGTTTTTATTTATTTCTGTGCTTCCCTGACCCATCTGGGTTTATATCCCAGGGAAATGGAGCAGTGTGGATGTTCAGAGGAGGGAGGATGGTTTATCCTGGCTTCATTTACAGCCTTACATTAATCTTGTGGGTAGTAGCAGCAACAGGAAAGCAGGATCTTCTTGGGGTGTCAGAAACACCCAGGGGCTTTCACACAGAGTAATTAATTAATGCCCTCCCTGTATTCAGAGTATACAAACATGAAGATTCAGGCTCTGACACCAGCAGCAAGCTTGCTGTGCTCAGTGACATAGCTGCCTGCTCGCTATTTAAACCTCGGGGAATAGCAGATATAATTTTTTTTGCCCTACAACTGTTTGTTTCAAATTAATTGGGATTTTGGCCTCTGGCCAACCTCCTCCTGTCTCTCCAAATGGGACATAAGTGGGAGCAGTGCACTCTTTTCTCTAACCTAGTTGGAGCTGTTTTTGCTGGACAGAGAAGCCATGAGCTCTTTCATAACGTGGGCCACATCTTAATAGCCGGGTCTTGTGGGCTCCATCCCTCCCACTGCTGCTGACGCAGAGCGTCTCCCCTCCCGCCCGCCTTGGCCAGCTTCCCTGGATGACTCCTCTAATTGCTTACGTAGAAAAATAATGAGAAGGATGCGTAGGGTGTATTTTTAGATGTCTCTTGGTGGGATTTAGCAACCGGCAAGCCGGAGCCAGCACCTCCCTGCCTGTCTCCTGCATCCAGCTGTGGCTGCTTGGTGGACTTGGGGAGGTTCTGTCCAGGAGCTGGTGATTCTTGGGCAAGCTTCTCTGCATTTTTTGGGCTTCTCCTGGTCCTTATGGGTGGGATATGGATGACATGTGCCTGGTACTGCGCAGGATCTGTGCTGGGAATCCCTGAGCTGGTGCACGGTGCTGATGCCATGCCTGTGCTGGGATGGGCACCACCACCTCCTCACTTCTCTCCAACAGGAAGGCCATGGTGGCTTCCCACCCAAATCATTCAATCATGGAAAGGTTTGCATTGGAAGGAAACTTTAAAGGCCATCTAATCCAGCCCCTCCACCATAAGCAGGGTCACCTTCCACTAGATGAGGTTGCTGAGGGCTCTGTCCGAACTCTCCCAAATGTTCCCAGGAAAGGGGTGTCCATCACCCTTTAGGGTTACCAGTGCTTCACTACCCACATCATCAAACATTTCTTCCAAATCCATGGCACATATTCCAATAAATACCTGTGAGATAATGGGTCTCACCACATGTTGCTTTGCTTTGTAAATGTTTTTTTTTTTTTCAAGATGTTTCCATCTGAAACCCCAGCAGCGCAGAGGAAAGGGAGCAGACACAGAATGCCATTAAATATCACCCCAAAGACTACGATAATTGAGCCTTGCAACAAGTAGTTCCCTTATTTTTCTCTCTGCTTCTTCCATTTCAGGGCTCTTTGTGTCTCGGTGGCTTCCTGTGCTGGGGGGGCCGGGCTCCAGTCCTTCCCTTTCCACCCGGGTGTGAGGAAAGCAATTCTTGCAGAGCGACTTATCTGTCCTTGGAGCTGAAAACATCCTTTCTTTGCTCTTTCTGAATCCCCCAAATGAATGATTTCTCCTGCTGGTTAGCATCAGCTTCCACGCTGAAGACTGTGGGAAAGTTTCACAATTAGAGTGGCTTTAATAGATCTGGTTTATGTCTTAAAAAACCCATCACTTTCTAATTCTCCATCACATGTTTCCTTGATGATGTGTCGCCCAGCAGTGCAGCTACCAAAATAGCCCCATGGTCTGAAGGAAATCATCAGGAAATATGTTTTTGAAACTGTAGGCAATTCTTTTTTTTCACCAGGAACCATTGGAAAAAGTCTGTGTTCAATGGAAAACGTGGCTTTTCTGGCACCTTGGCTGCTTATGTGGTGACATTTGGGAGCACAGTGCTCCAGCAGTTTGTCCAGAAACCCCCTCAGTTCCTTAGATTCTTGCTGTGAGTTTTCTCTTTATCCACCCAAATAGCTGGCATTCTTTTGGTGCTGGGTTTGCTTCAATTTTTGGGGAAAATTCTTGCTTGTGCATTGTCTTTCCATGCAGGAAAGACACCCTTTCCTCTTCCAGCACCTCCTGTGGTCCTGCCAGGCTGAGGGAGTGTGTGCTGTGTCCCCCCAGGTCTAAGGAGACCATGACCACTGATGAGGCCACCAAGAGTGAAGGGGAGGTGCAGACAGTGGCTCTGGCTGAGCGTGGGGAAGACATCACACCGTCCAAGGACCGAGGGGTTCTGAAGGTAAGGGGGATCTGCTGAGAGTGTCCCACCTTCCTGTGCTTTGGGGTGCATGGCCACCTCACTGGGCTGCATCCCCAGCCCTCAGGGTCACAGTTCCAGGGCTGTAGGATCGAGTTCTTTCATTTCAAAGGCAAAGGGGATGAGCATTGCTTGAGTAAAAGAGGATGGAGTGGTGGTTGGGGCTGGTGGGACCAGGCTGCTCCCTGAATTTCACTGCTATTGTGTTCCCAATCAGATTATTAGCTGTAAATCCACAAAGCATTTCTGTGTGTGACTCACAGACATTAGAAAGAGCACATTACTGAGGTCATCCAGTCCGCTCCACAGCCCTTTTTTCATATTCAGGGCCATTTCTGGATAGTTCTGCTCCTCAGCACTTACACTTCTCCACTTGAATAGGACCTTTCCTCCAAGAATAGCATCCTCCCCTGCTCCATCCTCAGCTCGAGAACTGCTTGTTCCCGGCTGCAGTGTTCAGAAAAAAGTGTTGACAAGGAGTGAGTAGTGAACTGACACACCCCTGTGAGTAAAATGTGTACGGACAGAGAGTGAGTGGAGTTACATTCACTGCAGGTTTGGAACCAGGGTGTTTATCTACCCAGTAGATGGACTGGTCTCTGCCCCCAGCCCTGTCCAGCTCCATTGCTGTGGTTCCAGTTTGTTTTTAGGAGCTGTTAAAGAGCAAATTTAGGGGCAAACTGAATAGTTCCCCCCTGAGCCTTCCTGTTATTTAGGGCAGCACTGGGGTGTACGTGCATGTATATATGTATATATTTTTATGTAAATGCACATGTGTTTATCTCTCTCCCCCTCCATATGCATCCTTTGGCCCTAGCTCATGGCTGGTTTCTCTCTCTCAGATAATTAAGAGGCCTGGGAGTGAGGATGAGTTTCCCATGATCGGAGACAAGGTTTATGTGCACTACAAGGGAAAACTAGCCAACGGGAAAAAATTTGACTCCAGCCGCGATCGGAATGAGCCTTTCATCTTCAGCTTGGGCAAGGGTGAGCTGGTCCAGGGGTGTCCTTCCATGGGATGGTGGAGGGTGGGATCATCCTGGGGCAGGAGGATCAGCTGACCCTGTTGCTGCACAACTGTGTCAGCCCTGCCTTTCGTGACTTGTGAACGTGGGGGTTTTTTTGGGTGTCGTCCTTGCCGCACACAGGCTGGGTTTTTTCCCAGGATGCTGGTTTCTCCCTCCTGCCTGACATCTGCCTTTCTTCTAGGTCAGGTAATCAAGGCATGGGACATTGGGGTGGCCACCATGAAGAAGGGAGAGATCTGCTACTTGCTCTGCAAACCTGAGTACGCGTACGGCTCTGCTGGGAGTGCCCCCAAAATCCCCTCCAATGCCACCCTGTTTTTCGAGGCAAGTAATGCTGGTGAGCTGGTGTGTGGATGAGCAAGCTCACTCTCTTTCTGCCTTGCCAGCCAGCTCAGAAATAAAAAAAATTAAAATAATAATAATAATAATAATAATAATAATAATAATAATAATAATCAACCAAAGCCCAAACAACAATTAAAAAAACCCAAAACCTCACAACAACAACAAAAAAAACAACCAAAACCCAGCTTGGATTCCTGAAACGTGTCCCTCTGCTCCAGGAAGCGCTGCCAGGGCTTTCTCAGAAATGAGTGTCTGAGCTGGAAGGCTGGGACTGAAACTCCAGCTTAGCAGAGTCCTGGTGCCGGGGCGGGGAGTGGGCAGATTCCTGGTTTCAACATGCTCATGGGAAGGAGAAAGCAGCTGGGAAATGCCTCCAGGTGCTAAAAATCCATTAGTACTGAGGGGTGGTAGGAAAATTAAGCTTTTGGCACAGAGGGCTCCCTGGGCAGGGCTTGTTGGGACACAGCAGGAGGAGGGAGTCTGTCCTAAATTAAGGCTCAGGTCTTCCAAGTGGAGTGTGGACTAAGCTGAGGCTCAAAGCTGCTCCCATCAGAGGATGAAGAGGAAGCTCCTGCCCACACTGGGAGACTTGCACAGCATCTTCCAGCAGCAGTGTTGTACCTTAACAGGTTCAATAAACTTATTTTTACTGTTACTTTGTGTTATGCTTCAGGAACTGGATGTGTCCCAGTTTCTAATTAATCGCGTGTATTATGCTGTGGTTTGGATCTGGGTTTTTTGGGCAACTTCTGCTCATCAGCTGAACAGAGAATTAGCTGGCTTGATTCTCCAGCCAGGGGATGAACTGCTGCTTTGTGGCTCTTCTGTTGTTTTTCTCTTCTCCTTTCCCCCTCCCTATGCTCTGCCCACTTTTTCTTTATTATTTTTTAGGTCGAGCTGCTTGACTTCAAAGGTGAGGACTTGTTTGAGGATGGAGGAATAATCCGGAGGATCAAGAGGAAGGGAGAAGGTTACTCCAACCCCAATGAAGGTGCTACCGTGGAGAGTGAGTGCTGTATCTGCTGTGGGATAACTGGAGGAATCAGCCTGTCCTGAGCTGATCCCTGGCGAGAAGCTGCTGGGAGTGCACAGGCTGAAGGTGGCCATGCATCCTGGTGGGATGCAGTTACATCCATCCAGAGGCTAGATGGGATGGAGAGGGGCTGGGGATGCTCCTCTGAGCTCTCCTTGGCCAGCCCCTGTGGTGGCCCTGCCAGAGCTGCTGCCCTGCAGGGCTGGGTGGAAAAGCAGCAGCTCAGGAAAACTCCTGAGCTGCTCAGGCAGCGGCTGAGGGGAGGATGGAACAAGCAAACCCCCATGGAGTTTCAGGGCCATCTGAAACTTTCTGTCATCCCCTCTGACTCTTCTGCATCCCAGTGAAGTGTCCAGGGTGTTCTGGGATGTGCCATCTGCCAAAGTCCCTGGCTCTGCCTTGCCTCCAAAGCATCAGTTGCCAGCCCTTTCTCCCTCGACACTTGCTAAGGATTTTGGACACTCAGCAGTTTCTTTGGCCTCATTCTAATGTTGATGGTACTTTTGGGAGATCTCATCACATCTCTCACAGAATGGGGCTTTTTCCTTCCCTTGTGGGCACAGGACTGCTGATGGTGAGGGGAAGGAAATTATTACAAGGGGTTTGCTGAGGCTGGGGTGGTATCAGCTGACACGGGAGGATGAGGAGCTCACATCCCATTGGGCTCTCCCTCTGGTCCCATTTCTGAAGCAGACATTTCATGGGGCTGAGCAGGGGAAGGCAGACTGGGATTTGGGGGTTTTTTCTTCCCAAGAACTGCTCAGACACACACACAGAGCTTGCTCCATATGGGAGGTATTTACTGTCTTTTCTTAATTCCAGAGGTCCTGTACACAAAGATTCTAAAGTCCCTTTAGTGACTGAGAAATTGAATCTGAGCTGTGAGACCTTATAAAGCTCATGGCTTTAAGTGGCTGGTTCTTCTGAGGCTCTCTTTTAGGAAAAAATGAGATTTTGTCTCAGATTCTACTGTCTGAGTGGTGGTCGCTGTGCTGGGGGTGGCACAGCAGCTGTGGGGACACAGCAGTCCACCCTGGGGCAGGGCTGTGATAGTTTACCTCAGCTGTGTATTTTGGGAGGTGCTGGAATTAGGCTGAAAGAAACCATGCTTCCAGGAGCAAGTACCTCCAGGTTTTTATAGCCTTTAACTTTTACAGACCCTAAATCCCAGTTCTGGTCTCTAAAACCTGTGCTGCAGTTGAAATCTGGCATTCCAGCTTTTTTACATCCTTTCACCCCCCCACCCCTCCTCCTTCTCCGTTTTTAATCTGAGTACAAATTGCTGTCAGCACATCAAGTTCGTGTGCCAGCCGCACTCAGTACACTCTGTTCTCAGCTCTTCAAAAACAAAATCGCTGCAGGCACTGAGAGAACAATAAGTCAGAGCTGCAACCGGAGTGATGTTCCTTTAGTGACTTTTTTTTCTCTGTAATCCAAGAGTGGCTGAACCAGCTGACCCACTCCTGGAAACCCGAGCAGAGATTTTCTCCCCTGTGCTTGGTGTATTTTCTGTGCAATTAAAACAGAGCAGAACTATCCTTGGAAGGAAAGATCACAACATCCCCTTGTGCATCCTGTTTTAAAGTGGATCTTCCCATTACCACCACATCCCACCGGGGATGTGGGACCTGGGGGAGCTGTAGTGCTGCTTTTGGGGTCAAGGATTATGGGTCTGTGCTTGCTACGAATGTGCAGGGAGATGCATGGTGCTGTGGGGTGGCTGGGTTACCTGTATTTTAGGCAGAATTTTCCACATTTACTGTGCCTAAAAATACCAGCCAGCTTGGTTTTGGGTAGTGCAAAAGCAGAGGTTGTCCCCGGAGGAGCTGGATTTGCTTTTTGTTCTCATCCCAAGCTGGGTGAGCTCACAGCAGCCTGACTGCCGTGGTCATCCAGTGATGGATGCAGGATGTGTCCCAGGAAGCTGGCAAGCACCTGAGCATCCTCTGCTTGAGTCCCAGCGTGGCTTTGGTGGCAAGAGTGGGGTGACAAGGCAGAGCCTGTTGTTCTGCACCTGCAGTGAGGAACCGCACACACCCCCCCCGCCCACTCTTTGGGTCTCTTATGGCAGCTGGACCTGCCCTTGGATTGAGGGCTGCCACATCTGCCTTGGTCCATGTCTCTCATCCTAAGGATTGTTGTAGGTCCCAGGGCAGGAGATGGACACAGATTTCCTTCAGCCCAGGCTGCAGCTCTTCCGTGCAGAGCCCAGACCCTCACAGCTGTTTCTGGTACCCAGCTTGTCCTGCCCCTCACCTGCCACCACAGCAGGATGCTCAGTGCCCTGCAGCATCTCAGGTTGCATTCTGTTCCCCTCAAGCTCATGTCTTTGCAGGCTGCAAAACCTTTAGGCACAGCTGTGAATTTCTCCTCTTGCAAAGCTTTTTTTTGTCGTTGTTGTTGTTGTTTGTTTTGGCTTTTTTTTTTTAACAGTATGTAGGAGTTCCTTGTGAAATTGCTTCTACTTAATGCCTGCCTGCATGTGTGTATGCCTTTTACCCTGCAAGCAGAATGCAAAGGCTGCAAAAGCGTCCCTAAAGCCTGGAACGTCTTCAGGTTTGAATAAATAAATAAAGAATTATCTTGCTGTGGAAAGGCAGCCAGGAGCGCCAGGTGGTGAATGTGCCAGGTACCCAGTGTCCACTCCGGCTGCGCGTCTGCCAGCGTCTGGGGCTGGAACAGCACGGCTCCTGGTTGAAGATTAAAAATAAGTTTATCTTGTACTTTGAGTTCTCAGAGTCGGGAGAACATGGCCTTGTTTTCGAGGCAGGAGTCAAGGCAGTATAGCACAATATAGAAGATTTGTAATCACCGTGATAAACTCTGCGTGGCGCCGTGCCAGGAGCAATATCCAGTTCCAGTAAGACTTGACTTGTGCACTTGAGTACAAGGGGAACATATTAGTCATGATGTTTATCTGTTGTTTGGTCCTGGGTTAGACGAGATATGCCTGCCTTGCTTTTAAGCAATGTTCCCAAGCCTTTCCTTCTCCAGCCCTGGGTCTTCCCTCTTCCAGGGAAATCTGCTGAGTTTTGGCAAAGATGCTTTATAAAATGCTTTCTAAGACACTTTGGAGCCCACCTTTCTTCAAGGTTTGGGTGATTCTGGGTGCCATCCTGCCTCTCTTTCCCCCTCTGCAGTTCACCTGGAGGGATTCTGTGGCGGCCGCAGATTCGACTGCAAGGATGTGAAATTTGTCGTGGGTGAAGGGGAGGACCATGACATCCCCATCGGCATTGACAAGGCCCTGGAGAAGATGCAGAGGGGAGAGCACTGCATTCTCTACCTCAGCCCACGGTGAGAAGCATCTCCACAGGGGTGATGGGTGGGTCTCAGCCGCCAGCACATGTGAAAGATGGTGATCCTGAAAATAGGATGCTCCAGGAGAGTCTCAGAGAGCACCAGTTGCATGTAAACAGGAATATTGAGATGCTTTAAACAAAACAGGTGAAAGGGCTTTATCCAAGTCCAGTGTCTGAGATGAAAATGTCTCCCTAGAAATGACCAGGGCTGGAGAGAAACCTCTGTGAAAGAAGGCTGTGATGTAGCCAGAAGGGGTAATTCCCAAGATGTGCATTGTATATCCACAGGGACCTTTGCTCATGGAGCGTAACATCACCCTGTCCCCAAAATGTTAGAGAGCCATGGGTGGAAACCTGGGTCTGCATTTATGGGCAAGCTCTGCTGAAAATGAGGTTTTTTCCTCCTTCTCCGAGTGCCTCCTCCTGCCCTGCAGGTACGGCTTTGGCGAGGCTGGGAAGCCGAAATACGGCATCCAGGGGAATGCGAAGCTGGTGTACGAGGTGACCCTGAAGAGTTTTGAGAAGGTGAGGGCAGAGGAGCTCCAGTCCCTCCCCAGGTTACAGGAGGGTTACAGGAATGTCAGGGCCTGTGTAGCCTCCAGCCTTTGTCCCTGGGGTGGCTGCAGCCCAACCCCTGCTGAAGTGGACACGTCACCGAGGAGCTTCGTGTTCTTAATTTGTTCTTCTCTGTTAGTTTGTTTTATTCTTGTGGCTGAGGTCCAAGGCTGGGTGTCTTTATTTGTTCTTAACCTTGTCCTTTTGTACTTTCTTTTTATTGTAATATTATTTTTTCCTTTTTTTTTCCCTCTTCTTTTTTCCTTTTTTTTTTCCTCATTTTTTCTCCCTTTTTCTCGTATTTTCTCCTCTTTCCTCTTCTTTTTTATTTTCTCTCATTTTTCTCCTTTTTCTGCTTTTTCTCTTATTATTTTTTCTCTTATTTTTTTTCTTCTGCTTTTATTTTCTTCCCCTTTTTTTCTTATTTTTTCCTCATTTTTTTTCCCCTTGGGCTGCACAGATAAAAGCTGGTACATCCAGCCAGCCCTGTGGAGCTTGGCTGTGCCCATGAGAAGGCTGGGGGTGCGATGCAGGAGAAGTCCATGGGATTTGCACATCCCTGGATAGATCCCCTGCCTGTGGCATCACTCTGGCCAAAGCAGGAGCAGGACCTGTCCCCAGGCTCTGTGGTGCAGCCCTGGTGAGCCCTGAGTGTGACCATGCTGTCCCAGAGTTGTCCTGCAGGGACAGGGGAAGCTGCTCTGCTCCCCTGGGAGTGCTCCAAGGAGTGCTTCAAGTGTTCATTTGCAGGCCAAGGAGTCGTGGGAGATGGACACCAAAGAGAAGCTGGAGCAGGCAGCTGTGGTCAAGGAGAAGGGCACAATGTACTTCAAGGTTTGTGAACTGGGGAGTGGCAGAGGCAGAGGAGGGGAGCTGGGACTGAATTTGGCAGCCATCAGTGTCAGGGAAGCCATGTGCCCCCGGATAGGGCTAGGGAAGGTGAGTCCTGTCCTCCCTCTGCCTTTTTCTCACTCCTTGATGCTCCCTGAGATATCTCATCCTTTCCCAGCATTGGCTGGGCTTCGTGTGCTCCCTGCAGAGCAAGACAGCAGATCAAACCCTTCCCAGGCCAAGGCTAATGCTGAGGGGTTTTGCATTCCCCTTCCCAGCTGGGGCTTCCCAGCTCCCCACTGTTCTGACTGAGCTTTTCCCAAACCTGCTGGTTCTGTAGGAGTTGGGATCCTCTTCCTTGCCTGTATTTATTGAACACCCCAGATTACCCTTGTCACCAGCTCATGGGACATTCCAGGGGCAGGCTGAACCTCTTTTTGCTCCTTTCAGGAAGGCAAGTACCTGCAGGCAGTGATTCAGTATGGGAAGATTGTATCCTGGCTGGAAATGGAGTATGGCTTGTCTGAAAAGGAGTCTAAAGCCTCTGATTCCTTCCTGCTGGCTGCCTTCCTCAACCTGGCCATGTGCTACCTGAAGCTGCGAGAGTACGCCAAGGCTGTCGAGTGCTGTGACAAGGTAGAGCTGCACTGATGCTGTCCCTTCTGGCTTGCCAGAAATTGATGCCTTTATGGGCTACCTAAAAACAGAGGCCAGAAATTAAGAGAATAAAAAGCAGTTATATTTATTGAAGGGCCTTCAGGTACGTTTAAGGCAGATGAAGCCCCTCCCAGGGGCTACACCTAAGAAATGGATGATGGGTCATGGGTTTTCACACTCTTTTATAGAAGTCCATTTGAATACTGGGGGTTAATCTTCCAATTCCAGCTTCAGGTAATAAAGTCATTTACCCCATGTTTGGTCACAACAACTCAATTTTGTTTCCATCTCTCGGGGCCTGAGACGGTGAGGTGTCCTTGATTCCCAGGCCTGGAGAGGAATTGTTTTGTCAAAATGGGAAAGCAGCAGCTAAAACTGTATATGGAGTTTAGAGTTATACACTAAAGAATTTCAAGATTACAAATATATGAAAAATATAAAAGCTAAAATCTTAAGGTATCAGCACGAGCCTGGGGGATGGAGCGTCCTCTTCCTCCTGCATGTTCTCATTGTGAGTTTGGTGGGCCTTTTTAAAATTCCTTGTCATATATGAAGGAATTAAGAAGGGATGGTGGCATCCCTTCTGCACCTGGGGGTCCCTGTGGACACTGAGTGCTCAGAGACTGCAGCACTACAAGGGCTTTAGGGGTTCAAAATCCTCTTGGGCATGCATTTACAGCAGCTTTTCTTCCAAAGCTAGATCTGTGTGAATGGATCTGTGTAGAATGACAACCTTGGGATGCTGTTTGGGTCTGCCCAGGCTGGGGCTGGGCAGTCAGTTCTGCTCTGGGTGTGACACAGGCAAGTCCACCAAGGGGTAGGATGGGGCTTTGCCACTCGCTAAAAGATCTTTGACCTTGTATTTGTCAGGAAACTCTGAATTCTTTTATAAAAGGCTTAGATTTAAGCATCTTGTATATGGGAAATACATGAGATATTTGTGTTAGTCTAAAAGGTAAATCACTGAGGTGATTTATATGAGCCTGAGGTGTATATATAGCTTTTACTAAAAGAAAACATCATTGCTGAAACAGGGAGACAAAAGGGCTTGGATTTAGTCTTTACACCTGATCTCTTGCCTGTGGGTTTTTGTCTTCAACTGATTGCTTAAAACAGGGTGTTTTAAGCAAGGAGAGATAATAAAACTATATTAATGATCTCCAAACTGCTGATGGAGATGAGGCAATTTTTGTTGAGCAAGATGCAAGTGCTCTGGAGATTTGAAGCCACCTTGTCCTGATTTTCACAGATTTATTGAGGCTTCAACTGTAGGGGATCTCTTGGGAGGGCTCTGAGATGTTAACAGAGACTTGTGTGTATTTCCAGGCTCTGGGGTTGGACCAGGACAATGAAAAAGGCCTGTACAGGAGGGGTGAAGCCAGGTTATTGATGAACGAGTTCGAGCTGGCCAAATGTGACTTTCAAAAAGTGCTGGAAGTGAATCCACAGAACAAAGCAGCGAAATCCCAGATCTCTGTGTGCCAGAAGAAAACAAAGGAGCACAACGAGCGGGACCGGAGGATCTACGCCAACATGTTCACAAAGTTTGCAGAAAGGGATGCAAAGGTGAGTGTTGCTCATTTTTGGCCATCCAGGGTTGCGTTGAAGGATGCTCGACAGGTTTGTGACAAGAAGAGATGGGTTAAATTCAATTACAGATCAGGTTGAGGATGGAGAGATAGAGCCTGCTGCAGTGGGACTTCTTGGTCTCTCTTATGCAGAGGCTGCCATCAGATGCTCAATCATCAATAAAAGCATTTGCAGTGTGAGCTGACAGGGGCTGATAACAGAGGCAGCATTGGTATTTAATTTTGCTGCTCCCAGCTAGTGACTGTTGATGAGCTCCTGGTCACTGGTAAAATGAAGTACGATTCCATCTCTGGCAGGGATATTTTGAGATATGATAGTGTGGATTTCCTGAAGCTGGTAATGCAATACCTGCTCCTCTGCTCAGGCAGAGAGATCACTGTCTCAGAACAGGCTTGCATCCAAAATTCCACTGAACAAAACCTGGTGTTCTGTAATGAGAGAGGACACAGCTTTGCAGGCCATCTGCATGGGTCATTTTTAGTATAATCTCTTCTGAAGCGGTGTCTGGAGGTTGAGGCTGTGGATTAAGTGATTGGTACAGCCCCTGGGGAGCAGCATGCTGGGGCAACCGGCTCAGGCAAGGAGTGGGGCCAATGTGGCCAGCTGCAGGCACTGTGTTTGGCTTGTGTGGCCAGCTGTGATGGGCACAGTCACTGCTGGAGCAGCCATGAGGCTTCTCTGTGCCTGAGTGCTCCTCTCCTGCACCCTCTTGATAGGCTGCACCTGTGGCTCAGTCCTGTATCTCCAGGCTGACACTGCTGCCTTACCTCCTCATCCTTCTCTTCCCTATCCATCCATCCATCCATCCATCCATCCATCCATCCATCCATCCATCATCCATCCATCCAGGCTCACTCTGTGTCCACACCCTGCTTGTGGTGGGATGGGTCACATCATCCCCAGGGGTCCCACACCTTCCCCAAAAGCTGCCTGAGCTGTGAGCTTTATCCTCCACCAGCCACTGAGTCAAGGAAATTGAACCCTCCAGTGTGAGCGTCACTGCTCAGTGGGCACAAGGAAGTTGTGGGGGGCAATTTTGCCTCTCCCCTTCCAGGCTGGGCTGCCTATGCCTATTCCCAGCACCCCTGTCATTTGTCTGCCCCTCTCCTCTCCCGTTTCCAGCTCAGTGTGTTTTATTTGCTGTTTGGCAGGAAGCAGCCAGCAAAACTGGTGTGGAAAAAACAGCGGAGAAGGCGGCTTGTGAAAAACGACCGAAAACTGATGCTGAAGGTGAAGAGGCTGAAGGACACGTATGATGGAGGAGGAGGGGATGGGAGAGCCTTGTGCCCTCGGCCCACACTGAAAAGGTTGCTGCCAAACCTTGGGACTTGCCAGTGTTTTCTTGTAAAGCTTGTTACAGTCTGTGTGATCGTGGAAGCAAAAAGCACCTCGCAAAGAAAAGTGACCCCGTCCCACCGTCCTGGGTGCACTGGGGGCAGAGCAGGAGCGGCAGGACACATGGGACCACTGCACGTGGAACAAATAGCATTTAAACAGCAGGAAAAAGAAAAAAAAATATTATAATGATAAATTAAAACTCTTGGCTCCTTGGAGGTTTCCGTAGACAGCTTGTTCCAGCTCCCTAGGCTTTGTGTCCACTCTCAGCACAGCATCCTGTGAGAGGAGCTGGGATGTGGGACATGCTCCTTGTGCACTGCAGTGCTGCCTCTGGCTGTCCCAGGGATTGGCTTTGCCTCCTGTGGCCAAAGGGGTGGCAGGGCAGAGCCAGGATGAGAACCCACACGGCCTCTGCTGCAGCCCCTGCGTGCATCAGTCTTTAAAGCACTGTTTGGGGAGGGGAGGCCACACAGATTTTACATTCTGAAGGAGCTGGTTAGTGTGTCTTTAGAGAGCAAAAGCCTGTCCAGCTTTGCAGGTGCCCAACCCACAGCCTGCACCCCATCCCTTGGCTCCTGACTTTAAAAGTTTTATTGCTTTTATTGGGATCTGTATGTGGGGAAAATAAAGGAGCAGGTTGACATGTGGTTCAGAAAGCAAGTGGCTGGGTCTGAGCTGGTGCCATGGGTTTGTCACTGAGCAGCTTTCCCATGGTGAGGGGATCCCAGGTGCATCGTGTCCCTGCACCGGGGCTGCTGCTACCTCCTCAGCCATCAGTCCTCTCCATCCTCAAGGGACACTGTCACTACCCCATGAGAACAGCTTTCCAGTTGTTATTTTTCCTGTCTCTATAATAATACCTCTTTTTGGAGCTTGAAAATAAACAACTGAAAGAAAAAGGAAAAAAAAAAAATTAAAAAGTACTCTTTCTCTGGATCCTGCTCAGCAAATGACGTGGCTGTGGGGAGGATGGATGTGTACTCCTTGGGGGGAAGATGCCCCAGCAGTTGAGGAATTATTGGTGTCTCCAAGAGCTGGTGCTGCCCCTTTTTATCAGTGCCATTGTTCTCTGGAGAGCCAGCCAAGAGTCAGCAATCCATGCTTTGGAGATGCCTGGCTGGGGGATGCTCTTTGGGGTCTCAGCTGTTTTTCCAGCCTGGGAGGTTTATCTTTATGCTTTTTGCCCTGCCCCACAGTGTATTCTTTTGGGAGGGGTTTTCCCGAGCTGGGTGGGTTGAGGAGTTATTTGTGCCCCTTGACTGAGGGTGGAGAGAGAGCAGAAAGCTGAGCCAGTGGGGTATTAGGACTGCCCATCCCTCTTTTATACCCTTCCTCCACAATCTTGGGAGACTAAGCCAGTTTGGGTTAAAATTCCTCTTCTCTAGTCCCATCAGGTGGTACCTGAAGAATCATTTCTCAAGCCTGTCAGTTTTCCCACCTGCAGCAGTGGCACAGCATCCTCACGGCTGCTTCAGCTGCTCATCCAGGGCTTGGGTTTCCTACCACCATGGCATGCACCTCCCTGAAGGCTGCTGTGAGACCCAGGGCCTCTGTAAAATGTGGGCTTTTTGTTTTTTCTTGCAGGGCAAGAGTCCTTTGGGGGCAGCCCAAGCCACATTTTTCATAGGAAACTACAGGGGAAAAAAAAACAACCAAAAAAACCAACTTGCTTTGCAGTTTCTGGGCTCGCTCCCCATTTTTAAGCAGATTTTTGATTTGTTTTGGCTTGGTGCTTTTGGAAGAGAAATGGAACTTGTGATGAGATGAGGTTTGGAAATGAAAGGGAAACCAGAAGAGTTTTGCAGGGAGTATTAAGAAGTTCCCGGTGCCGGTGGGTCTCAGTGTGCAGTGCTCAAATGCCATCTAGCGGCACCAAGCACAGGTTGGGGGTTTTGGGGTAACCGTGGTGGGCTGGGCAAGGCCAAGGGTCCAGTGGGGACACTGGGGACACTGGGCCTGTCTGGCTTTGCAACCCAACAGCATCTGTGAAGATCTCTGGGGTGTAATATTTAGAGTTAAATGTTAAGTGGTGTAATAAGGAGGTGAGGCCTGAGCAGGAGGTTATGAAACGCATCCAAAAGAGACCTCAGGACATGGGACAGGGGTCAGAGCAGAGGTCAGTACAGAAACCCTTTGCACCACCCAGAGCTAGGGATGCTGTCTTCCCCTCCGTGGGCTTTCTATGCACAACTCACACAAAATAGCCCAAATCCTGCTCTTCACTCACCAAGAAGACTTTTCTGGGTGAAAAACAAAGACGCCCAGGGAGGATAAGCCTAAACATGATCAGAGAGCCGCTCCTCTGCCCACTGGAGTGAGTGGCTGTGCTGTGCCAGGGACCCCAGCCAGCCAGAGGGGAACCTGTGCTCTTCAAACAGGCACTGGAGTCTGGTTGACACCCTACATTCCTACAGAGCCCCCTTTTCCTGTGATTACTCCCCTGCCAGCTGCTCTCCTGGCAGGCCTGGCTGACAACCCCTGAAATCCTATTAACCGAGTTTCAGGAGAAGTAAAGTTAATCACCTCCTCCACCTGCTCTTCCTCCTTTCCCTTCTCCTCCTCCCAGCACAGAGACTTGCAGAGGCGGCCGAGCTGATGCTGTGAGGCCACTCTGGCTCTCGTGGCTGTGCCCATGGCCTGGGCTTGGTAGGGGCTGCAGGGCAGGACGGAGCCGTGCTGGGAGCGATGCCGCTGCAGACGGAGATTTTGCGCGAGGTCTGGGCTGCAGACAGGTCAGTGCCAGTGGGCAGGGTGGGATCTGTGGGGTGGGTGTTGTGCTGGACACCCCCAATAAATTCCCCTCTCCTCCAGTGCCTTTTTGTCCTGTTTTCAATGTAAATGAAATTTAGTGAGGGGTTTTATCGCAGTGTTTTTTTCCTTTGGGCATTGGTGGGATGATGCTCATTGACTTACAGAGAGGGAAACTGTTTGTTAGAGGGGGATCCCCAAATTCAGCTCCTTGCTGTCCCCCTTTGCCAAGGCAGAGCTTGTCCTGTGCTCTGTGTTAGGAAGGACAAAGTCGGACAAACTTGACCCAGTTGAGACAGTGGGAAATGCTACTGGAACCAAATGAAAGACTGAGCTTTCACCCTTTGTCAAGAATTTAGGCAATCCCATGCCCCCGGGGTCTGTGGAGGGCTGAAAGCCCTCACCCTTTTGGTTTCTGTGCCCCACAGCCCCAGTGAAGAGCCGGGAAGCCCCCAGCAGCACAAGCCCAAACAGGTAAGAAAAAATCCTTCCCCTCCATCCCCTCTGCCACCATCCCCAAGGGCTGGGGACATCAGAGACCCTCTAACCCCAGAGTCCACACCAAGGCAAATTTGGGGCTGGTTGGGCTGTTCTATTGGGGCGCTGCAACCTGTGAGGGCAGGAGATTTTTGGGAACCACCTTCAGAGCAGGTGGATAGAGAAAATTCCACAGCCCTCCCTTCTTTGTGCATCCTTCTGAATCCCCCCCTCCATCACTTTGAAGCATCCCATGAGAAGGGTTCCTAGTTCTCAAATAACAATTTAATTAAGCTCCTCAGTTAAGCTATAAACTGTGACTCACTTTCCCCAGGCCATGACCCTGAAAGCCAGATCCCCCTTCCCTGCATTTCGGAACAGCCCCCAGGTGCCCCCCAGCCTTGGGAGGGTCTCAGCAGCAATTTCATCCACCACCCAATTTAATTTTTAATCAGCATCTCCTCCTTGAAGGGCTTTGTTAAGTAAGGAAGTGGTTGCCCACCCTGCAGCTGCTTAAGGGATTAAGGGGTGCAAAGGAGCTTTTCCATGTGAGCTCATGACACGGAAGAAGGCAGCCAGTTCCCAGCTTCACCATGGAGCCCCCAGCTCCCCCTCCCCACATTCACAGTCCTGGGATCCCACTGGGATCCATCAGGATCCCAACTTTTGCAAAACCCCTTCACACACTGCCCTGGAGCATTTGGGAGTAGTGAAACCCCTGCAAGGGGGAAGATGCTCTGTTGGATAGTGGAGGCCTTGGTGCATCTGGATTTGCTGAGATCACTTTCTGAAAGCCCTGAGCTGACACCCACTCCCCAAACACCTCCTGTCCAGAGCCAAGTGCTGACCCACATGCTCTGTATTTGGTAAATCTGGGTTATTTATGGCCCCAGCTAACTGGGATTAGGTGTGCTGTGCCTAATCCTCCTGCTTCCCTGCTCCTGCTGACCTCCTTGCCATCTACAGGAGCCTTTTGCGGGGGTGAGAGGAGATGGAGGTGAGAGGCCTGGCTGTCTGCCCATGCCTGTGTCCCCTGTCCAGCTCACGTCCCCAGCATGGCCATCAGTGCCCTGAGTGGCTCCCAGGCAGGGTCCCTATGGCTACAGTGGCACCATCATCACCCCCCCTCTTCTCCAGAGCTGTCCCAGGGCAGATGTTCTGTCTGTCTGTCTGTCTGTCTGCCTGCTAACAGAGCTTTCTGTTTTCCTCCCTCTGCCTTCCTCGGGGGGTGTGCCCCATGGTAAGTCACTCACTGGAAGGTGTCCGTGTGTCCCTTGCTCCCGTGCTGGGCCAGGGGAAAGTCCGACTGTATTTCTGAAAGGGACACAGTGCGGTGTGAGCAGGGGGTGTCTGGTAAAGGGAAAAGGTGTTTAAGGCTGACACCACCTCTGCAGCATCACCCTGAGGGCAGAAGCTGAAGAAGAAGAGGCAGGAGCCTGGGCTGGAGCCCGAGGCCAAACCACGGCGGCCGCGGGTGAAGAAGCTAAGCGAGGCAGCGGCTGCACAGGAGCCTCCAGCCCCGGCACAGGGTGAGCACAGATCCCCCACAGCTCCCCTGGAAATGGGGGAAAAAGGGGCGCCCCATCCTGCACCTGAGGCGCTCTCCAATCATGGGCGTCCTTTGAAATGCGCAGGGGTGAAGAAGGTGAGGAAGAAGAAGGAGGAGAAGGGGGAGGAGGAGAGCGACAAGGATCCCTCCTCCAAATTCACCAAGGAGCCTCGGAAGAAGAAAGAAAGCCTGGCTCCCCGCTCCCAAGTGGCCAAAGGCTCCAAGAAGCCACAAGGTGCGAGAGCAACCCCCACCCCGCTGCGGGCACTCGTTCGTGTCACCTCGTGTCCCCCTGTCCCGAGAGCGCCAGGCGTGCTCCCGGTGCTCCCAGAGCCTGCACATCCTGGGGCTCTGCACATCCCCGGCACAGTTTTGTGGCTAAAACCCAGCCACGGACCCGGGAGAAACGGGGACGTGGCAGGGGAGCCGCGCTCATTGCCTTGCTCGGGGAGTTGATATGGAGAGGGAGAGGGGGAAAGGGGGGTGACACGCTCTCTGGGAAGGTGGCATTTAGGTTCCCGCACACTTCTCTGGATCGGAAAGTGGCTCCGCAGGGCGAGGCTGCGGCCGCGAGAGAGCGCTGAGGCTACACCCGCACTGCCCGGCGCTGGACACGACCCGCGGCAGCGGGGACAGCATGGGCTGGGGACAGCATGGGCTGGGGACAGCATGGGCTGGGGACAGCATGGGCTGGGGACAGCATGGCCACCGCCTGGGGACAGCATGGGCCACAGCCTGGGGACAGCATGGGCTGGGGACAGCATGGGCTGGGGACAGCATGGGCTGGGGACAGCATGGGCTGGGGACAGCATGGCCACCGCCTGGGGACAGCAT